CCTGCTGTCTTGGCTGCCTCAGTGTTTTTGTTTGTTTTGTTTTTTTTTGTTTGCTCTGAATGTGAGACATTTATTTCATAGGCTTATGAAGCAGGTGTGGCTGAGAATGACTCGCCCCATGTCCTCTACACAGGACCCCCTCTTTCTGCTTTTCTCATTACCTGTGTGACGGACGAGGGTTGTGCTCATGGAGCAAAGAGTTCTTGCAAACCATTAACTCTCCCTCGCTTTTCAGATCATTTAGTACAGTTGAGTTATTTGTTGTAGAAGTTATTACACAGGTTGCGTGTAATGCATGTTCTGTCCTGTGCTGCAGTGGTAACGAATTTGAATCTTCTTGTGAAGCGAAGGAGCTTTTCAGGTTCAGATTATGTCCTTCGCTTTTATTACATCTCTCTAAATATAGTGTGTAAAAAGATTGCACTGAACCTGATGCTTACACTGATGGTATTAATCTTAAAAAAAAAAAAAAATCAAAACGTGACTTCTTAATTTCTAAATAAGATAGGGTTTTACTGTAATTGCTAAAATGATCAGTTATTTTTAGTATTTAAATCGCCACTATACCACAGCGCTGTTGAGATCTCCAATTTGATTGGTCAGAGGGTGTTGATTAAAGTGTATAAGCATGCATCAAAAACAGCTAATAATAAAATACGATTCAATAACTATAACATTAATAATTAATAATTTTTTAAAAAGGTCATCAAGTAAAAGCTATCCTCAAGAAATAAGTTTTGAGAGAAGGTTTAAATACACTAAAAGACTGGGCTTCTCTAAGATCAGAAGGTGGTGCGTTCCACAGTTTTGGAGCATAAGAATAAAACAATAACAAACAGACTTAAATGTGTGCTGTTGTTTAACAAAGAAAAAACATGCAGTTGTTGATGTGGTGAAGCTTTCTGTAAGAGGAGGTTTATTTACCATTTTTGGAAGGAGTCTCCAGTGTTAATGCTGTGTAGCAGTTGTAAAAAAATATTTCTCAACACGGGGAAAGTCTTAAGGACGGAGGACTTTCTGTGTAAGGAGCTGCGTTTTTGCTGTGACTGTGAAAGTATGTATGCGGACGACTATTTTATTGCTGTTATAATGTACGTGACATGGACATGGACGTTCCACAAACGTAAGTGTAAACAGATTCAAAAATGTGATGTACAGCTATAACTATCTAAATATGAAAGCGAATGAAAGTCTTCATGGTGTGCGGTTGTAGGAAAAGTAACTCAACTTCATGACAGGCCGCACCACATCACTGCTGTGGTGTGACTGATTTCCTAAAACGCCTAAAATGTTTTATTCCTTACGTATTAATCACAGCTTCATTGCATTTTATCAGTGTGTCATTTTAAATAACGAACAATTCATGATGAATAAAACCAGAACTCGTCCTAAGACATATTATAAATTTTTTTTTTGTGTGTATGTATGTTAGTTACTGAATTCTTAAAGATGTGTGTTAAAGAAAGTAACTGTAGGTTTTCTACCCTGATCAGATCCTGTTTTCGGCGGATGATGAAATGGAGGATTCGGACGGCGACGAGGATGTACGCAGGCTCACCGGTCTCAAAACTGTCAAGAAAAAGAAACATCGACTGGGCATTCCTGTCTGATGTGAGCTCAGGCTTTAGACCGTCTCATTCCTGTCACAGACTCACTCTGCTGCCTTCTGCTAGTCTGATAGAGAGATCAGCACGTGTCCAGACCTCCATCTGTGCATGGATCTGCAGGTAGGAGTAATAACACACTCCTGAACAAAGCCCTAGGTACTGATTATGGAGCTGTGAAGCTGTGGGAGTGTCTTGGACCCCCCCAAAAAAGCAAAGAGAGAGGAATATGACTCCTTCCTGCTGGCTTCTGTAGCCATGTCTCCAAAGACCACTCCTGCTGATCTCAGATCTTTCGGTTTTTATATGATGTCGAACACCTTACTAAGGAAAGTGTGCACTGGTGATCCGTGCTGCTTCTTTATACCCATAGACTGGATTTCCTGTATGGCCGTAATGGCCGTAATGGCCGCTCAGCCTGGATTTACTTTATGTGGAGGACGAAAGCAGCAAAACCTAACTTGGGAGAATTGACCCAGCCTTCAAGCACACCTCTACCTTAACATTTATCTTCTGTCTTGTTAGCTCATTGTCTCGTCAACTGTATGTAGAACAAATAGTAATAACAAGCGTGGCGGTTTAATCATGTTTACGTCGAACTTGCGTGGCACGAAGATCTCAGGAACAAATGGTTTGGCAAGCAGTGTAAAGCGATACAAATGTGTGTGGGTTTTTTTTATTTTTTTATTTATTATTTTTTTTATTAAATATAAAGTTACCTACAGTATGTATACATATGGTTTCATATAAAATGGAACATACTTGCTTAACTGTGAAAATCCTTTTCTGCAGAGTGTGTGTTTGGGCAGTGTTCGTCTGTCTGTGTGTTTGCGTCTGTGTGACTTTCTCGTTCTGCAGTGTTACGGTTCCTTAGTCCAGGTGGGAGGTTTAGATTGATTAGTAGGTCATCTTTTGCACAATTTGTTTAATCACTTTGGTGTCACTGTTTTTTTTGTTTGTTTGTTTTTTTTTTTAAACATATAAAACAACTGGTGTATTATGTGATATCCTGTAGGCATGGAACGTTTTTTTTTTTTTTTTTTGGAAATTCTCATACATTATGCCATCCCTGTAGCAAAGTTCAGATTTTGGCGTCCTGTATAAATTGATGAATTGTAGCATTTTCCCCTAAGGATTTTGAGAGAATTTTTGTGGATTTTTGTGCCTTCCAGTTGTTCCTGGTGTCGGCGTGAGTGCGTTCTAATGTCTCGAGGTTCTCGTGCCCGTGCTTGGCCTGCTGATTTTGGAGTACTGTGATGATTGGCAGTAATACTGATGGTGAATTATGTTTGTTCTGATAAACACTGATCATGGACACTTCGGTGAAGTTGGTGTTCGGGCACCAAAATCTTTAATTACTAACTACTACATGATTGGGATTACTCACAGGTTGCGTTATCATTATATGTTTTTTCAATAAACAATGTAAAATTTCTTTTACTGCTTACTGACTATTAAAAAAAAAAAACTTTTCAAATGTTTCACAGTGTCGTTTTAACACAACAGTACTTCCCTGAGCGGAAATCGAATCCGGGCCGCAGCGGTGAGAGTGTCGAATCCTAACCACTAGATCACCAGGAAGAGAGAAGGGGGTTTGTTTTAGCTATAGTTAGAAACATGCACAGAGTGCAGCGCCTGAGGAACATTGACATGCGGCAAGCCCAGAATGGAATGTAAAGCATGACCCGTGGAGATGAACGAATGCACTGCATACCCTGGATAATCCACACAATATGTCAGCCATCACGCAGGCACAGCAGGCGGGCGCAGAAGAAAGCGATCTTATTCGCTGCTGACCAGTCTGTTTGATTTCGGATTTAAATATGGTGCACCGCATGCGATTTGGTGTTTGGTTCCGGTGAGCCCTGTAGTGTCACTTGCCTTTTTGTTAATCTAGTTCTTTGCTAACCTTTTCTCCATTTTGGCAAAATTGATTAGATGAACGATAATCTTTCTACATAATAGTAAATTCCTTCATTTTGGTTTAAACTTGCATCACGTTGAGATTTTTTTTGGTTTAACATTGTTTACATTCTAGCTAGGTCAGAGCTATTTTATGGTCTTCAGGTAGGGGTTTAGGAAGTATATTTGAGACTGGGGGTAAAATTAAGGACAGCCCTTTCTCTCAAGAAACTGTTCAAGCTAAAATAAAGTGAATTCATGAGTTAATTTGTTAAAACCTGATTTTTCAGTTCACTGCTTTCAAATCCCACCAAGGTCCTATTTTTCACTCAGAGCAATGACTACAGGTGTTGAACACCAGTGAGTTAATGCGTACACCACAGGTTCTTCCCCCCTGGTCATGGAGAACCCCCTGTCCTGCACACTTTAGTGTTTTTCCTGCTCTAACACGCTCACTTCGGCTCATACAGAGCTGTTAATTAGGTGATTAGTTGAATCAGGTGTGTAGGGAGCAGGAAAACCACTAAAATATGCACGGGTGGGAACGCATGGCTTACCTAATAAAGATTTTAGAGCCTGAGAGTTGCACCTCTGAAGGCTCTGGCAGTAAGAACACTGAGACTGAACACTTCGAACACTGAATGCACTAGGCGGGTCTAACTTACTGCCACTATAAAGAATGATACAGAGCAATTAAACTTTATTTTGTGCTAACAGTTGTTCCTGGTGTCATTTCTCACCAACTGTCACTGCTGATTCACTAAACATTTGACATTCCTGCTCAAAGCATAGTCTAACATTGACAGTAACCTCACATGAACCACAGTTGATAATCTCTCTCATTTGCATATATAGTAAAGCTGCTTTCCTGACTGGGAATCAAACCCAGACCATGGCAGTGAGAGCACCAAATCCTAACCACAATGGAGTTCATAAACAGTGCATCAACGGTGTGAGTGCGCATGCTGAGCATCCGGTTACTGAGAAAACACGGTAAGTGTAAACTGAGAGCAGTATGTCAGCGTATATACACACACACACACACACACAAAAACATGTAGCATTAGGGCACGGCTTGTTGATCTTAATGAAGCAGACCTTTAGAGTACCGGGCCTTTGTTATTGGACAAGGAAATGTTTACTCCACTGACAATGTTCAGGTTATGTTTTGATTGTTTTCATGTTATTTTCTAAGATAGGGTTTTTCTATTAAAAATACAAATATATAAATCACTAAATAAGAGAGGTTTTACTGACCATGTTTAATTCAGGATAGTTTTCCAGGATCGTGTATTTCTATAAAAAATAATAATAATAATAATAATAATAATGCTGTACTGACCATGTTCATGTTACTTATGGGGATAGGGTGTTTCTATAATTAATTAATAAGTTTTTTTATTTTTTATTTTTTTTTAAATACTAACATTATCTGACTTCCAGCCAAAGCCAAAACACTGTTAAATAAGATGTCTTGTCCTGTGAATTGTTATGGCAAGACAGAAGCTAGGAGACTGAAACCCTCGGTTAACAAAAGCTAGAGAAATATCAGTAGTCTGTGAAGTTAGGGCCAAAATGTTTGGGAATTGGATGACTTGGAATCTATTAAGATGAAATATCTTATCAGATATCAAATTTAAAAAAAAAAAAAAAAAAAGAACAATAAACCAATATCAGCAGAAAAAATCTATCTGAATCTAGGCTGAAATATCACAGAATTGTTCTTGGCTCAACATAATGTAAAGTGACATAAGGTAGGTTATGCAGTAATAACAGTGAATAGCTTTATATTTATATATATATATATATATATATTCTTATGTTATACCTAGCATGAATAAGTATTATACTGGATTGATTTTGTTTGGCATTTTGAATGATTTATTTATTTATTTGAATAATAAAAGCTGCCATTTTGCCATTTTGATCATGTATATCTTCCTCACAGGACCTGCAACGTTTCCTCAACAGTAAAGCAGAGCTTGATAGTTAAGAATAATATATATCGTATCGCAAAAAATAGTGTTTTCATGACACTTCAGATATTTACAGTACATAAACTACTGACTCTCTAATGCCAGCGTTTGCCAGTGTTTCTTAAGTCTAACCAGATCACACAGAGTGCCAGACACATTGCCTCAGTGGCTATTCATAGCCTGCTTTCCCCAAAAATACACACACACACACGCACACACACACACACACACTCTGACTGCTGCACTCATTCACTAAGGCTGACTCATTGTCCCAGAAAAAAAAAAGTGCTTTGTTATTTTGTTTTGCTGTGACCAAGCTTCTATCGGAAAATGCCCCAGTGATTACAGACGTCCCCGTCACTGTCCCTGTGTCTAGCCTGAGACCTGTTTTAGGATCCGCTCAGGTGACAAAATCATTAGTGGCTAATGTGTCAAGAATGTTGTAGGGCTTTTTATTTAACGGCTGTTTAGGGAAAACAATGTGTGTAAGAATAGCTTTTCTTGGACCCTTATGATGACTGTCTATATTCGCATACGTCATAATCAAAGAATTAAAATAAACGTCATACTTTTATGGTGTTAAAAGTGCCAGATACATTTGGCAATATAGGCTTTATCTTACTTAAGCAGATACAAAGAAAGGAATCTATCTAGCCTATATTTGAAAAATGAATCATGCTGCTTCAATATTTTATCTAATATTACTGCGACATTCAATTTGTATCCTGTTGTTAAAACTCATTTTCTGTATTCAAGGACATGTATTAAGAGAATAAAACCTCTTTAAAAAGCCTTCTGTTTTATATATTAAACTGACCTGATGTGACGCTTACACACAGTTTGTTGTTTAAATGAATATTGTACGTCACATGTATGGGCATTATACAGAGCTGTGTCATAATAAAACTATAAAGCATTATAGTGAGTCAGATTTCAGTAGAGTAGATGAAGTATAATGTTATGAGGGAGGTATGGAAGTGTTTTGTGTTTTTTTTTTCGTCCAGCTGTTCATGGCCGTCACCCTCAATAAGAAGGATCATCCACTTTGGCCTCACTGTCACTTATGTCATGTCTAATAATACACTGTGATAACAGAAAGACAGAGATAGCACCAGTGAGAGGATAACACTGAGAGAAGGATATATAAAGGACACAGAGATAGGAGTGGGACAAGCAAACGGCCAGCTTGCTGCTAGTCAGGATCGAACGGACATACGGCACGACATGTCTCAGGTACGTGCTTATGTCGACAAATATGCAAATGTAACGTGTTCGTTGTCGCCCGAGAATCAAGTCAGATTTCTTTTATTGTCTGATTCGCGCTCTCAGCCAGGAGAGGTGAAGAAGAAGAAGCGTCCGCCTATGAAGGAGGAGGACCTGAAAGGGGCCCGCAGTAATCTGGGCCTGAAGGGAGAAGTGAAGAGTAAAACATATGAAGTCATGGTGGAGTGTGGTGAGTCTGTCCAGCTCAGTCCACTGTATTTACACATTCCTTATTATCCCAACTGCTTTCAGGTTAAGTTAGCAGTTCTGTTTTTAAAGACTTCATATAAACCTACTCACTTATGCGTCGTTATTTCTATAATTGACAGCTTCAAACGTTTCACCTTAATAGTATACCACTATTTGTAGTGTAAATATAAATATACAACAGTTCTGGTTAACTTGATTGGTCAAGCTCTGTTCCATGAATGCTGATATTATTATATACAAATGGAATATTTCACTGTTTTTCTTTTTGATGTGTTAACATAATATTCCAAAGCTAGTAATAGTTAGTTACTATGAAACTCTTACTGTCAGTCAGTCTTTGTGTTATATGGCAACACGCAATGCTCTATCCAGCTGCGCATGCTTTGGGTACTATTTCCATGGATGGAGCAAAGAACCGTTGTATAAGAGCAGTATCACACTCACAATCGTACTGTTGTACCGAATATCAGCATTACCTGTGGCCTCGTGGTGTGTATTCAATATAACAGCAATATTGCTTGAGTATACCACAGCGCTGTTCAGTGCTCGATTCTGATTGGTCAACCGCTCTTTCGTAGTTTTGGCTATAAGAAAAATTGCAGGTTTGTATTAATGCTTTTGTTCTTGTATGTTGTCATTTCCATAGTAACGATTTACATAGGCACTTCTATGGTGGACCCTTCCGTGTATTATTGTTGAAATGGTGCAGTTGTTGGTGAGGAGATGTTTATTTAACATTTATGGAAGGAGTCTCCAGTGTCAGCATTTGTAACAATCAGAGGAAAAGCTGTAACTACAGAAAGCTATTTTATTTGTCTAATTGTCTTCATGAGAGAGGTAAAAAGTGAGGGAAAGACAGCTGCTATAATGTAAATGATGACTGGAACTAACTTGTTTTGCAAATGTTCCACATTAAATGCACCTATACATGGTTAAAACATACCCCATTTTGTTCTTTAAAGAATGTAAATGGTTAGTTTTGGCAAATTGCTGTGGCATAAAAGGAATAAAACTCTTCAGGCGGTGGTGTTGATGGAAATCAGCTTTGAGGTGGTAACAGTAACTCTGGTTCGCCTCAGGCCACATCACACCACCATGTTGGTGATCTACTTTCCTATAACAGCAACAGGAATAAAAAAAACAAAGTGTTTTATTCCTTACATCACAGGTCTATAGATCTTAATGTGTATATACATTACAGTACTTTGTGTACCAACCAGTGTAGTGCAT